GTGGTTGTTATAGTCTTATTTTAAACAATTTTAGCTAACAGGGGCCGCATGATTATTTTTTCAGAAACAGCTAACCCACAACTATTTTCACACAGCTGCACCAAACAGACGGTCAGGTTCCCCGCATCCTCTTTTCCGCAGCTGCCTTCCGGGGCAAACAGTCTTAGAGCTCTGAAACCATATTGAAAATAGGTTTGGAGAGGAAAAATTACTTGATATTATTATTAACATGTAAGGTGCATATACATATTAAATCAATCCCTCATAATTTACAAACTTACTAAATATACCTAGTTTAAACTAGAAAATGAAATAATTCTAAGAGACATAAAATAGGTCGGAAACAAAACAAACAAAAATACTTCCAAAGATATCCCCAATCAAATATTTTCATGATTTTGTTAAACAGTTAATCAGCCCACCATGGAGAGGAGCCTAACTTCTCAGCTTTCCACAGAAACTAACTCCAAAATTTAGCAGAATGAAATAAAAAATAATGCAATCTATATTAGCCTGTTTTGTAATAGCTTAGGCTTTCAAACAAGAGGACTTGTTTTAAAATTTTGAGGGTTTTCCAACGTTCAAATGTTGTGTGTGTGTAAATTTCAAATTCAAAACGTCAAGAAATTACTCAAAAATAATCTCAAAAGCCTAAACAATGTCATAACAGAATTTCTAAAATTTTGTACGATCACATGCACGATCAATAACCATCTATATGATATTAAATAAATCTGGAAAGCTAAAGCCTGATCCTCAATATGATCAAGTTGAAATTATACAAATTAAATTTTTTTTCTACATGTAACTAAAACATCAAATTATTCAAAATCACTTCTCCCATATAAGCCATGTGTTGATCTAACTACTACTCTGCAGGGGGAGGCTCCAGTTGCTGGTATTTTGGTTTGTTATTTTTAAGGAGCAAGTAAGTGATACAATACCAGAACATTAATATCCTTCCTTGGGCTGTAATGGTATCCCTTATTCTACTCCCTCCAAAGGAAATCCTCTCCAGAGCCTGCAACAAAAAGAAAAAGGAAGATTTACATACATACTACTTAATTCCCGTCTATTTACAGATCTAACACCTAAACTTTTATATTTACATATATATATATATATATATGCCACCTTACCTAATCATGAAAAGGTGCAATAACTTTATAAAAGTTAAAATAATGGTGTTTTTGGTGTGATATGAAAATTTCGGTAAGTGTTAATGTAAAAAATAGAGTTTTAAGTGTCAGATATGTAAATAGATAGGCATTGGGTAGTATGTATGTCAATACCCCAAACAAAATAAATAGAATTTATATTTTTCTGTTTTTTTTTATAAGCCTCAATCTATTTGCAAATAAATGCCCTGGAATACTTCTATAATCCTAACCCCACCAAACCCTGAACAATCTCAACAAATTTTGAAATAGTTTTAGAACCTATTTGCCTTCTAGAAAATTGATGGTCAAGCATTGGCTACGAAATCTCTTCGAATCGAACACAACCTATGCTTGAAGAAGTAAGGTTATCCTCATTCCTATGCATAGTTATCCACAAGCAGAAACGGCAACCAAAACTAAGTACGAAGCTTTTTAACTTCCGATGGAATATGACACTGTTGCTCACGAAGAAAAGCATAGGACTCTTGACTGGTTAAATGTCAAGCGATGGAACAAGATGTATCCTTTCGTAGTTAATGTTCGAGCATGGCTTTGAAATCTAAAGGAAGGGGAGGTAAAGCTCAATTTGTTCATTTGCTATTACTCACAAAAAAGAAGCATTTAAAAACTCAAAATTCTCAAAAAGACAAATTAACTAGCGAGTACCCACCCAAACAACTGAAAACATCTACAACAACACAACAACAAAGCTTTAATCCCACTACGTGGGGTCGCCTAAATGAATCATTTTTCTCCATTGCGTCCTATTTAGCTTCATATTTTTCATTTAGTTCTAATAAATTAAGATCACTTTTTATACAATAAGCACAAGTCTTCTTTGGTCGACCTCTGCCTTTCTTAACATAAGTCAAATCTAAAAATCTACTCTCCTAACAGGATCATCACAGGTCGACGTAGATTGTCAGATGGTCAACATTTAATGTGGCCAAACCATCTATAAGACGATTCTCTCTAATCTTGTTCGTCACTAGAGCTACACCAACTCTATCACGGATATAATAATTTCGCATTGTCTCTAAGTGTCAAACCACCCATCCTCCTAAGCATTTTCATCTCACCAAGCAATCTTAAACAGTTCCTAGTCCTTTAAGTATTTTGATTGGTTTTAACTTTTAAATCAAACAATCGAAAATGACAAACCAAAAAGTGAAAAAAAAAAGGAAAATTTTAAGGTAAGAAATTAAATCCTCCAGCTCCTAGTAAATTGATGGTTAAGCATAACTAGGAAATCTCTACGACCCAGCAATGGCTTACTCTTTAAAGAATAAAATTATCATCATCCCTAAACGCAGTTATCTAACTGAGAGGTTACGAAGAGCAAAAATCTGGCTAAATTAGATTTATAATTTCTAGAGCTAGTATCTCAACTAGAAAACAGTCCAATGTGATATTATGTACGAACTCTGGACAGATTTTTGCACAAATAAAAAATAATATAAATGTTATTTTTTAATAGAAGCGTTATTTATATTTCTTCTACCCCCATTAAATGCTAAATCTAGTCACATAAGTGAAGCGCTCTCTAGAAGTAATGGGGGAAAACCTGATGCACCAACTTTCACAGATTCAGCCAACTTTTGTGGTGCAAAATATTAAAATATGCAGAATGGCAAGCATATATAGCTGCGCAACTGATGCGAAAGGTTGATGAAAACAAATGATGCAAATTTCTTATTAGTACTAAATGGTTGATGAACACAAATGATGCAAATTTTTTTTAAGTACTGCAGTGCAGGAAGACAATAAATCAGATAACAAGAACCAGTTCCAACAATCAATATGCTAAACGAACCGAATAATCCACCAAAGCTCAAAAGAAATCGAAGAAGACTGGCCCAAAATTGCGGTAGTTTAAAATTCATGTGAACCTAAGATACCTATCTCTAGACTTGTGGCACATAACAAAAAGTGGGGCAATAACATACGCAGGACTGAAAACTTTGTTATTTACAAAACTAGCACTCTGTTTCATTGATTTTTCAAATTCCCATTCAAAATACTAAAATTCACAATAAACTCAAACCCGTACCTTTGATTTGATCGTGACACGTGTAAATGCACTGATTCTATATTAAAAAAAAAAGGCCTTGTGAGCTTTGAAAATTTTGACACCCCAGACTCTCTGTGTCGTGTTGTTGAGAGCTGTCGGGTCAAATTGCAGAAGGCAAGTTGGATTATAGATAAAATACTACCCAAATATTTCACCCTCACTTTGTGAGTGCTTTTTGATGTAGGGTTCGATGTTTCCCATAGTCGCAAACCCCTATGGTTAATTATCTCTCACGAAAATGTGAGAGCACTTTCAATTAAGGCTAGTAATTAAACATTGAATATTTAACATATAGTAGCAACAAACATATAGTTTAAGTTCTAAAATTTATCACTATAAGCTTAAAGTAGATGATGAAGGAAATGATTATAGACTTGATCAAGATCTCATGATTCCATCATCTCGGCTCGTCGCGGTGACGAATCTACGCAGTTATAGAAGATGGTCAACCAAACCTGACTGAAGAATCCTTTTTCAACAATCATGAGTTGCGTCGTCCAAGAGATCCTTGTAGATATGGGGTGGATATTTGTGTAAGGGGGAAAATTTAAATCGACCTTAGTTGATATAATGTTTTATGAAAATCAATTATACCCTTATGGTTCAGAACTCAAAAAGTAAAAAGTCATTGGGGAATATGCTAGTTATGGTCGTGATTGTAATATAATAGTGTTATTTAATAGCAAACACCTAGTCAGAGAGCTCTGGTCGTAAACACTACTTTTTCTGGAATCGTTGAGCCAAAACACACCGAAATAAGGCTCGAGCCACGTCCTTACTAGCATAAAAATGCTTTCAGTGTTATTATAATAATATACTGGATATGATATTAGCTCTTTGTGAAATAAAGTCAATTAGAAGTTTTTCACCCTCAACGGACTATTGTGAAAAAAGAATGAGATTTGTTTTAAGCTATAAGTAATTAATTTTACTTGAGTGCTTAATTTGTTTTGAAAATTATGATTTGAAAGCCTTGATTTAATTTTAAAAGTTGACTCGTCCGGTTGAGATTTTCAATTAACACAATCATCATTGGGGGCTTTACAATTCAAACTTTTGTTTTGAAATTTATTTAAAATTCATCAACTCTGATCTCTGTAGAATACTAGTCTTGTCAACTCCAACCATGATGAGGAGGATCAGCAGGGTGAGTTGCACTTGCAAATTCTTATATATGTGATTTGAAAATTTATTAAAATTACTGGACTTGTTAAGTCTAGTGCTTAAGAAGAAAATAATCGGACTAGTTGGTTGAGACATACAACCCTGCACTATAGACAAGCAGACCTGAATGAGACCATGCATGATTTGATCATCCTGAATTTGACTTTTAAAACGTAAGAGTTCTTTATTTTAAAATAAACATAAGACTTTCAAAATAGCTTTGCACATTTCTTAAAACAAATACTACTTGAGTGCAAGTTAGCTCTGACCTGTGCTGATTCTCAAAACATTCAAGTTTAAGCATGTAGTCAATTTGGTGGAGCACATGTGGTTTTTTAATTTTGAGATTGTGCACACATCTCATACATTCAAATTAAATATTTTATATGAACTTTAGCAACAATGTATGATCATAATGATTTGTCTTTTAAAGCATAATATTATATTTTAGTCATTTGCACGAAACATGACAACACTTGCATGACTACTTGAAAGATCGTAGTTTACTTCCATATATTTCAAATCATCTTTTGAGTTGAAGCATAGTCTTGACTTTTGTGAGAATTTGAAATCATAAAATTTTATTTGGATATTATATTATTGAAGTGCATGAAAAATTATATATTTTGGCTAAGAAAATATCTGCCTTCTATCTACTTGTAAATAAGAATTAGATCTGGTGACAAAATCGATGTGTAAAATTTTTATTTTTAGCATTTTAAAATGACATTCATGTATTAAGCTTAGTCCCAATATGGTATTTCATAGTTAAGTCAAGTTGAGCCCCTAATGTATGATATTTCATATTCAAATCAAACTAAGCTCCAAATTTATGATGTTTCATATTCAAGTCAAGTTTAGCCTCTAATTTAGCAACTACCCTAATTGAATTATTTGGTGATGTTTCACATTCAAGTCAAGTTTAACCCCTATTTTTCATGTTTCATATTCAATTCATTTTGCAAATTCAAATATTCCACATTTAAGTTATTTGCAAGCTCAAAGAGTTTAAACTCTTAAGCCATTTGCAAGTCCAAGTCACCCAAAGAATTGGCCACCTCCCGGCATCAGGGAGAATTTCAGTCTATCAATTATCTTAAAAAACTCGTTAGTCAGTATCATGAGAGGATGTGGTTGAGCAAAATGTGAATTTCAACCTATAGTCTTAAAAGAAGTTATGGATCTTCAATGTACCTGCAAAAGACAATCACAAGCGCAAATCTTCCTAAATGTTACTTAATTTACTGAACAGGTATTCATGTTTCTCAGGACGGGAACTTAAATCCCCTCATTTTTATAAAAAATTTCTAAATGTGCACACAACTTTCCCGAACGGTACATAATTCTCTGGATGGGTACTCGAGCTTCATCGAAATAATATTTTAAAATAAGTAATTCGCCCTAGCACTATTTTCTTATACCTTTGCGAGTGAGATCGGCGGCGATGACAATGATCAAAAAGGCGAAAAAATGAAAAGGCAAATAAAATTTTGTTTTCTAGCTTTCTATTATATATATATATATATATAAACAAAGTAGGTTGTTTGGCTTAGGTGGGATCGAGGGAAGAAAAAAATAACAAGGCTTCACATGCGGCTGAAACGAGTGAACAGGGAAACTGAAGGG